CTTGGCTCTCCACGAATTCCACCCTGTCGGACGTCCGTGTGGGAGAGGGTGCGTTGGTGCGTGATCGATCCTCAGCCTCTACATGAGCAAGCCATTGAGCATATTGCTCATGGGCCTGCGCTAGATCGACAGCAGCAGCTTCTTTTGGCCCGCTATGCTGCTCGGAGCTGCCCGCCTCAAGGCTCTTTTTGCTGTCCACGATGTACTGGCCAAAAGAGGCACTGAACTCGCGATAGTGGCCTTTGAGAACAAAGCTTCGCCCCGTCCAGCCAAACTCGGACAGCTTATGCGGCAGAGACGTTGCAGAGGGGCACTCCCATGCACTCTCCAGCCCACGGGAGTAAAACACCATGCATCTCGCTTCCCTCCACCTGGCAAAGGTATCGTGACCTTGCTCCTCGGAGATGGTACGGCCAATCATATCAGGAGAAGCGTCTTTGATGAAGTTTTGAGGAACACGAAGGTTTATAGCGTCGCGAATGTGCGATCGTTGATACTCCGATGGCGGCCGAACGTCAAAGATGAGGGTTTGTCCGGGCAAAGATATCTCGAGAAGTCTGCTGAGATCGGCCGGCAAGATTAACAGCGGGCTGCCGCCCTCATTGAACGGCGGCGTGTCCCCGACTTTCATGCTGGCCAGTCGGTTCGTAACCAAATCCCGTTCTCGCCGGTGGTGGAACCACAGACCCAGATGGAAAGGTTCTATCCCAAGATTGGAAGCGAGGAAAGCACTCTCGCCGTCGTTTGGAAATGGCCGGTTCTGGTAGTATTCCTCCAGACGCTTCTCGACATGGGGCGCGAAGCTCTGGGGTTGAGGCACATCGGTACCGCCAAACGTGGTGCGTCTTTGCGATTGCTGTTGGTTAAGAATCATTTGTCTGGATATCACAGGAGTAGTACCGGTACTGAGTGAAGATGGATTCGGGTGCGTGGCAGGAAAAGAGGAGCTCATAGACCTCGGAAGAGGTGCCAGTTGTCGGCTTGACGGAGACGACGAGGGAGCTGGCCCTGCTTGTGGCGTTCCAGGCTGGCTCAGGGGAGCCGCATTCCGGGCCGACCTGGCGTCCCGCGCAGAGGCGAAGCTGAAGGAGCTCCTAAACTGGCCGCCAAGGCGACTGAACTCAGTAGGCGCGACGGTCGTCCCGGTCATGACGGAGGTGGTGTCAGGGTCTATCGGCTCCGACTGGAAGTCAGGTGCTGGTACGGATGTAGCAATTGGCGTTGGCTGGGGCTTCTGAGCTGCCATGTTATTGGAGCGGATGAAGGCGATGAAGGAGGTCGCTGGATCCTCCGGCAGCAGATCCCAAATCATGACGGGCATTGAGACCAAGACCAGGGTGGAGTGGCTTTTGAAGACGCCCTGGATCTTGACGTACCGGGCCATAGCGGGAAAGGCATTGAGCCACTGCTCCCAAGCGTTGATATCCAGTCTCTGGTCGTCTTCCAAAGCCAACGATATCATCACATGAGGGGTGTCCTCGTTGGGCTCACTCGGAACAGAAGCTCGCGCCAAAGCATCTGCAGGACTGG